TCTCTCTCTCTCTCTCTCTCTCTCTCTCTCTCTCTCTCTCTCTCTCTCTCTCTCCATATGTAACATAAAATGACAATAATAATGATAATAAGTTAATAATGATAAAGTTGAATAAACACACACACATGACAGATGGGGGAAGAGAGATTCAGCAGGCGGAAATTGTGCGCCTTAAGCTGGCGGTTTTCACATCCAGACATTACCCTTTCCGTACACTTAATTTCAATTACACACTGCAAGCAAGTACCGTTTCTCCCCAAATAATTTTCATATCGTAGCCAGAAACGTACCTCTGCCACATCTTCTTCGCTCACCATCTCCAGAATTCTCTCCACCAGTACTTGACAATCATTATCTACCATTAAATCCCATGCACCAGCAGCACCACCATAAAGCTGTATCACATAGAAATTTGTTACAAAGTAGCACAAATAAAGGTTAGCCACAGCTTTGTCCCTGGATTGAGGGCAAAGATCACTCCATGAATCAAAGCACACTGAAGGACAATGATTTCTCCAGTTCAGAAGTGTTATATCATCAAATTGAAATTGAGGGCATATTTATAGATGTGATCGCAGTCAGATGCATCCTGATCTGGCCGTAACTGCTGTCAGATGCATTTTGAAAAGTGTGCAGAGAAGGGTTGTCGGCAAGCGGAGAGAAGGGGCAGGAACTGGAAGCAGCCTTGAAAAGGGACAATGAATGCAGCCAGTGAGCTAGACACAGACATATCTGCATGGGACAACAGACAGTTGCAACTGCAACAACAAGCCCGTTTAGCAAAATGTATTCCCGTAAGTGTGCGCACCCTCATAACTCTGTTCTATGCTTGCTGGTGATAAGCAACCGGACTGCTGCCCCCCACAATAGATGGGGCCTTGCTTGTGGGAAACAACACGAAAAAAGGAGTGCGCACCCTCCTGCAGCCTTAGACAAAATGAAACTCATGGCGACAAAGGGAAAGAGAAGATCTCGGAACAGTGGCACAAATTGCAATTCGCCACATTTACATAAGGCTGCCATAGCGAGAGAGAGAGAGAGGGGGGGGGGTAACCGTAGCCAGTAGGAGGTACTGATGCTGCACCATAGAGAGAGTGAGAGAAGAGGAGAGATATGACCTGGAGTCAAAGGCTAGGGGGAAGAGGAAACTAATCGGGAAAGTGGTCACCTGAATAGTGTTCAGGGATCTTTGCTGTGGAAAAATAGCCCGGTGATGGTCGCCTGTGCTTGGCACTCTTCATCCAAGACTTAGAGGTGTTGGTGTCAACCAGACAAGGGTCTGTAGTGCAGATTGAAAGGAGGACGTAACCAGCGAGAAAGGGTTGGTAAGAAGGAAGATAAAGCTTAGCGATTGTCCGAGCTGCTTGAAAGAAAAAGACCATGAGGAAAAGAGAGACCAACAACATTCATCTTTCAAAGACTTCATTCTGCCAGTGCCCCTGCTATAGAGATAAGAGTGTGGATGTGGCACTGGTGTTGGTGGGGTCGAGGGATGAGGGAGCAGGTGACCATAGCTTCAGGGGGTGGCAATAAGGTGGTGATTGAAAGAGGAGTCACCATGCTGCTTCGCAGGACAGGCATTGCCATTTTTTTTTCCTTTTCCTGAGGACACGAATTGGCATTGTCATTTCAAGTTCCAGCAATACTTGCACTACCTTCTTCCCCCGAATAAAACGTACGGTCATTATAGCTGAATTCGGGCCACATTTTAGTCTAGATACCTAGGCTACCAGCCGGGGCGGCCGGGTCACCTTGTTTTTCCGGGCGGGACCAGCGAAGGTCCCAGCAAAAAAAAAAAAAAAAAAAAAAAAAACGAAAAAAAACTTTGTTATGCAGAAAAATAAACTGAACAACTTTTGCCTCAGGGTCACATCGAAATTATTTACTAAATTTAAACTAAACAATATACATATTAAACTATTAATATGATATCATCAGGCAAGTGGTCCCGGGCTACTCAGGTAGCCTAGCTAGATACGGCTATATTTACCGTACGTTTTATTTGGGGAAAGTAGGCAGCCTTGGATAGGCCAGCCCCAGAGAGAGATTGAGTTGGCGAGTGCGGCCAAAGAGGAGTCCCAAAGCAGCAGAGCAAGAAGCAACTTGAACATTGTACTTATATTTGTTTACATTTCTAAAGATATTTTCATGCTCTTGCTCTTCTTCGTCACACAGTGCTGTCACTCATTACTGTCTCAATTTGGTTGTTATCATTGATTTGAGCTTCATGAGTTCATGTCTGATTTAACTGTGAGCTTGAAGTGGGGTTGGTTACACATGCATGCTTCAAACTGCATTGCTAGGAATGGCTACCAGAAATGGCCCGGAAAAAGAAACTCACCTGGTGCATCTCACACACAGCTTTTTTGACAATAAATTCCCTTTTCACAATCGGTGCCAGCTTACTCAACACGTGATAATATCGACCGCTCTCCTCCTCGTCTTGACTCGCGAGCACCCTCTTCTCTACATACTGCTCCACCCATTCTTTGTCATGATTTGCTGACCGGTCTGGAGTTAGGACAACATAATGGATTAGTGAATTTAGTGTCCATCAACACAACATAGAGAGAGAAGGAGAGGGAGACGGAACAAGAGAGAGTGAGAGACAGAAAGCGGCAAGGAAGGAAGGATCCAACACTAAAACAGGATGACCAATCCATCCACTGAAACAAAAATAGCAACCAACCACAGTAGCATCGCCCAGTCGGCTGCCTATCAGCCAAGCAATTTTCTAAATTTTTTTGGTCTCTATTCTTTCGAAGATATGTTCTTCATTTGCCAACCTCTTTCAGCTCCATATCATTTACCTTGTCCGCCTTGAAATTCCGCTTCTAGAGAGCCCTCCCTCACCTGCCCAATTCGACTGAGTACGGCCTGAGTTGCTGTTGATAGAGCCCTTGCCCCACCATCCATGACATCAAACAAATCTTTAATTCCTATTTTCCAACGCACCTGGCCCAGGACAACTTGCCCACCCCGCCCACCCGGGCCAGTGCAAGCTGGACCCATACGGTCTTATTCTTTTATTCTATTTTTGTTTGATTTATTATCCTGCATAACACAGGCCTTTTTTCTTTTTTTTTTTTGCCGGGGGCGACGTCGTCTGGGACTTTGCCTGGACCTTGCTCAGCCGGGCCACCCGGCAGGCCAAGGTGGAAGCTCGGCTCGTAGCCTAGCAATGCACGGAGATTTGAACGGTTAATAGGGTCCCCTTTGTATACCATACCACCTCATGCAGCCTGATTGACAAGAGGCATCCCCTGTCTGAAGCTAATCTCCTTCATGACAAAAGGTTTGAAATGAGAGATACACAAGTTACCATGCGGGATAACTTCGTTACTTCACACCGGCGAGATATTCAGAGAATCAAGATCTGAACGGTGGATAGGGTCACCTTTGTATACTCTACCACCTCCTATGGCCAGCCACAAGCATCTACTCCTTGTGGAATCTTAGTGAATATGGTGCAAGGCATAGTCTTGTAGGGTGTCTACGAAAGACCCATGCACGGAGTTGTTGAAATATCCGGAATTCCGTACGGTGAACGATTGCAGAGCATTCCGAAAAGTTAGAAGTGCCGGTGGAACATCGAGGCTCCAAGGGTTCCGTTGTTCGCCGATGAAAGAGGTAAAACTCAATCGCCAAGGGACATCACCTGTCCGAAGCTACTAACTCCTTAAGTAGTTTTGAAATCAAGGACACACGAGATACTGCGGGATGATCTTTTATACTTTACAAAGGCAAAATATTAAGAGAATCATGATCTGAACGGTGGACAGGGAGAGCTTTGCATTCCCTACAACCTCATGCAGCCCGATCGACAAGAGACACCCCCAGTCCAAAGCTACTCCCCTTAATTAGTTTGGTAATACCCCCACCGCGATCACTCCCCCTCCCACCAGAAAACCAAAGTTTCTTCATAGATTTGGGCTGTTCTCGGCATGTGCAGTACACAGCCCTGTTCTTGAATTTTTGAAATACTGAGCCAATCGCCCTCTGCCAGCCGGTCGGCGGACTGCCGACTGATCCGCCGGACTGGTCAGCAGCAGGTCGGTCAACCATTGCCATCGGCGCCCGGCCGGTATACTAATCTGTAACCAACCAAATTGTTTGTCAATCTGGTGAGATGCCGCGCAGACACGTAAATACACACACAATTTGCACACATCTTCTCCAAGTAGAAGAGCGGTACTCCGAATTGTAGTAGCGCTGATGCTGGCAGGTTCACTTCGCCACCTTTGCCACGTTACCGCAGACATTGCTGCAGCAAGTAACAATCTTCTATAACTACTAGCGATCACTTACGTCCACACAAATTGACGATTCGCCCCCATGAACGAGTCATATAATATGAGAAAACAATTGAACTCTATCCTATATGGGATGTAGCTTCACTTGGTGGATGGCTTTTTTTTTTGTTTTTGTTTACCTAGAAGCCGTAGCGGTTTTATTGGTGGATGGCTTTCTAATAGCCATACTTTCACGCAACCCGATGATTGCACCCCTGAGCACAAATCATATGATATAAGAACACTGTTGAGCACACATACTACACAGTTCTTGGGTGAGGCGGCCACCGCAAGCAGCAGTACAAGGTCCAGTTCGCACATCACACGGACCCGAAAGATCAGAGTTGGCTCAGCAAGGAATAATTTGACAGCAAAGCCCTCTCGGTCATCCCTGCTTCTGAAAGAACACACAAGAACAAGCAAGTCAAGAAGGTTGAATTTCGTCTCAAGGGTCTTGCAATGGCCAGCAGAGTTCCAGTCTCTTTTCCCAAGAAAGCATTGCTCTCCGGTCTCTTTTGCTGAGATTTCTGTGCCGGCGCATTTCTGGCTTGCTCTTTAAAGGGTGTGCAATCACCCCGACAAACCGATGTCGGAGATTCCTGCCAATTTCTGAGAAAATGCTGTTCTTTCGATCTGCATTCTGAGAACTCCCAGTTTGAGTTGGTTCTGCTGTGATTTGCTGTGTTCTCTAAGTGTCTGTGTGACCTACCTCTGACGTGCATGTGCTGTGTGCTTGTCTGGGTCCAAGTCTAGATCCGTGTGCTAACTCTGTTGACTGAGTGTCTGTGACTGCGCCTCAGTCAGGGACAAGGTAGGGATAGAGAGATGGCCAGGGGCAGGACTGAAAGTTCGCGGTAGGATATGTTGGGGGGTAGGTAGCGCCCAGGGACATAAGTAGCATTGACTAGGGACCCGGTAGGGATTTTCCAGCAATTCAGCAGGGCCTGGTTTAGTCCACATCCAGTGTGGGCTTGAGAGCATTGGCAGAGCCCTTCCCTAGTACGAGAGGACTGGGAAGGACCTACCGCTTATGTACCAGTTATCGTGCCAAAGGTAAACGCTGGGTGGTCATGGGTGGGGCGGATAACTGTTGAAAGCGTCCAAGTGGAGAGTCCACCTTAAGATGAGTGCTATTTCTTATTCAAGCATGTCCTTCAAATATCCCATAGGGAACAACTCAATGGTAACCAACCGGACGTCCGGACCGGGTTCCAGACAGTCCAGAACAACATGTCCGGGTGCGGTGTCCAGTCCATGATGTCCAGATGGAGGCCCCCAGGGCAAAAATAAAAAATTAAAAAAGGGGCGTCCCAGGACGTTTTTCAGGTCCTGGCCGCCCCTCGAAAAATAACGGGGTGATTTTTCACTGTCGTTTCAACCCACCGGACAGGGCCTAGAGGCCCGGACACAAGACACTGCAGGTTTTTGGGGTAGCTGGTTTCACACAGGCCCACGCAATTTCAAAGCGGCCGTTTCGAAGTGCCACCCGCTGCTGCTGCCCATTGGGGAGAGAGAGAGAGAGAGAGAGAGAGAGAGAGAGAGAGAGAGAGAGAGAGAGAGAGAGAGAGAGAGAGAGAGAGAGAGAGAGAGAGAGNGAGAGAGAGAGAGAGAGAGAGAGAGAGAGAGAGAGAGAGAGAGAGAGAGAGAGAGAGAGAGAGAGAGAGAGAGAGAGAGAGAGCATTGACAATGCTGCCAGTCTGAAGACTCTGACGTTCTGAATTGAACTGCAAAGTTCGAACTTCAAAGTTAATCGTACGAAGTTATGAACTTAAATTACTCAATTCAAAGTTAATCGTACGAAGTTATGAACTTAAATTACTCAATTCAAAGTTCAAACTTCAAAGTTAATCTTGTGCCTGCTTTGCACTGTTTGCAACTCTGCATGTCTGCTAGTTGAATGTGCCTGTCGATTTGCTGCAAGACAGGTGCTCTGCTGCCTGAACTACGAAGTGCAAAGCAGGTGGGTTCCCCCCCCCMCCCCCMCCCMCCCCTTTTTTCTTTTTTTTTTTGGTCCGAACACTTTTTACCCCCTGACACCGGTCAGGACTGTCCGGGTCCAGGGATGTCGGGGTGTCCGGTGATGTCCAGATATCCGGACAGTCTGGACTGGTCCAAGACACAGTCCGGAAGACAGTCCGGAAGTGTCCGGTGTCCGGGTACGTGGTTACAATGGAATAAATAGGGCATGGGTAAGGTCACAGCCGAACGAGCCATTTTCCACAATAGGTGCCAGGTATAAGTGCAGTAGTGCATCTGGTGCCCCCCATAACAGAAGGGGCAGGTTTCTCTTGGTGGTGGGGGAGGGGGGGTTGGGGGAGCACAAGATAAGTGCAGTAATGCATGTAGCTGAGGTATCCCAACAGACTCAGAGATTTGGACGTTTTCCTACCTAATCAGATCGAATGAAATTGACATTCTGTGCTAGTGTCCCTACTCCTTACCTGGTCTCGTCATTATCCTTTTTAGAAGAATCAAAAGAAGGAAAAAAGCATGGTTGCCCCGAACCTGGACACTGGACCAATCCAGACATCTGTCCGGATGGCGGTCTGGTTACGTCCGCTTGCCCGGACAAGAATCCGGACATCCGCACACATCTGGAACCGGACGGTCCGGATACCTGAACAATTTGGCCGGATTTATTTACTGAAAAAAAAAAAGGTTTTCAAACTGTTTATGTGATCTGCACTGCACTGTTTTTTGCACATGGTAGTGCACTGAAGTACACTCAAGTGGAGTACCAACTGTAATTGGTCATGCTCAGCAACTAATACCAGTTCACTATTTGATATTAGTTCATACTAAATCCTATTCACAACAGGGTTGCATACCCGCCAACCGCCTACCCCGACCGCCGACGGTATTGCAGCCGACCAGCAGGGA